ATTAATTAACCAATCATTATTGCCTCATTGTATTTATATAATGCATTTTAAGTCATTTTAAAGTCTGTTGTTCACTTAGGTCTGTTTTTATTACCACAAAAAAATATTAGGCTATCTGAATACTTCTTTGTTAATTATTATTTGAAGTAACAAAACCATGGTTAATTTGTGGTTACCATGGCTACAAGAACCATGATTTTTTTTATTCGTAGTAAACCCACGATTAATTTTTGTAAGGGAACATGAAAACTCAGAGAGAATATTAAGGCAGTTGCGTTTGGTGGTTGTGAAATAATTACCGACATTAAAACACGTTATTAACGTCAACAGACAAAAAAGTTTCACAGGATAATGAACGTACATGAAAATGATACACGGGCTCAAGGGCATAAATTTTGTCTAACAGTAGGGGGGGACAATAAACATAAAATTTCTCAAGAGCAATATTTGAGGGGGACACAAGGCGCACGGGCGTTGTAGCATATTTTCTTAGCGATAGATGCTATTTACACTAAGTGAGAATAGCAGTATTTGTTTTGTGATATGCTATTTACACTAAGTGCAAATATGCTATTTATACTATATTAAAATAGCAGGATATTCTGCTAATTACTTATTGCCAATAGTGGCAATTATCTGCACCTCAGCATTGTAATACATTATAAAACAGTATGCAACTATTGAGTGTAAATTTTAATTTTAATTCAAATTATTAAATGGATGCCACCTTATTGGGACAAAAGCCCTCCCTAACCCTACCCAATACTTTTTCAACTTTTTGATTATTTCCTTCATTTTTATTAAAAAATAAATGCCTTTCTGATGTTATTTGAAATTTGAAATGGGAGAAAAAAAGTTCGCCAAAAGGCAGATTCGAACCCGGGTTGATCGTGTCAAAAAGTGGATGATACACATTTCACCATCTACACCACTGGAGCTGACATTTGATGACTGTCTTTTGTAATGTTGACTATCCCAATCACACGTTGGTGGATGCAGTTAATATAATAGCCTTTGCCAACTATTTTTTAAATTCCCAACAGTTAAACAGTTGCCCACAGAAAAAAAACATGGGGGAAATAAAAATATGCTGCAGCACCCCCACTTCACGTGCCTATGATGTATACACAGAGGGATGGCTTACTACTATTAGTGCAGCACGTGCCAAATTAGACCAACATTATGAAGCTGCAGGCCCGGAGGCCCAACTGCACACTCAGACCTGCATGCTCAGACCTATCGTTTTTTCAGACAGTGCCACCTGCTGTTTGGATGAACATTTGTTTTGTAGCATGTGTACCATAATAATTTCCAACATTATAAAACTGCTAGCAAGTAGCAACATCGGACACGTGAGTAAGGTTATTAATTTTATTAAAGCGATTCCTGAAAATTACCAGGTTTTATGGCATAAATCAATGTGACATCTTATTACACCAACAAACGAATAGCCTATTTTAGTATTTAATGATAGTTTAGATAGATAGTTCGACAAAATAAGCAAGTCTTCATCGAAAGAAATTTCAGCTCGACCGTCTGCAAAGGCTCAAATGGGCCCTGCTGTAGTGCTGTGAGCACTAGAGTCAGGTCCCAAGAGGGTATAGAGGGGGGCCGTGGAGGATTTAGCCTTCTCGCCCCTTTAAGAAACCTGACGACTAGGTCATGCTTCCCCAGCGACCTACCTTCTACGGGGTCGCCTATTTGGTTAGCCGCGATTGCAGCGACATAAACTTTGATGGTGGAGGGAGACAGCCTTCGCTCCAAACCTTGCTGCAAAAAGGAGTAGATTGGTCTCTCTAAGCGAGATCCCAATTTCGTCGGTCATCCGACGTGACGTCGAGAGTGACCGACTGAAAGGGAACAGTAACACAATAACAGTGTAACAATTAGAAATAAGTTCTGTAATAATTACAAATAAAATTTTTGGAATAAAATGCGGCCTTGAGTTTATTTTCATCAAAATATAAAGTAATCTGCGTAGAATTGACAATATGAGCTCTGTTGGGTTGTCTAAATAATTTGCGTGTGACTTGTGTATTTTTTCCCAGATGGATATTACAATTCAAAAAGGGGGGTCTCTGCCAGAACTAATACAGTGCACCAAATGCTGCAGTCATAATAATATGATTTTCTGGTGAGAAATCAACTTAAAGAATTGTCATTATTTGGCTTTTACAACAGTTAAATTTTTTGTACATTATTCTAAAATAAAATTGTTTGCTTTACTGATTTTAGGCTTTGCCACGTCAGACAAGAGAGAATGATTGTGGTGTTTTTGTACTCATGGTAAGATTTAAAATTGTTGAGTTAATTGATTTAAAGCTTTTGTAAACATCGTAAATGACTGTGTCTTCTCTCTTTCCAGTACACCCTCTCAATGGTGTGTGGTATTGGGTTTCAATTCCAGGAGGTAATTTTTTTTTTATGTAACCTTTATTTTACCAGGCTGTTTTTCTTGTCAGGATGGTGCTTTTATTTATCATAGCTAAAAATGTAACTCAGGTGGTGGTGTATTTTATCTTGCTTTACTCTAAGCAACATTTCTTTCAAAAAGGGGAATGGTTGTTGCAAGCACACCCAACATCATGTATTAACAAAAACATGTTGGTTAACTGTTAGACTAAACAGTTTTTCTTTCAGATGGATATGCCTATCATCCGCCGATGGTGGTACCTTCTACTCATGGAACGATTTCAAATTGATGGGTATGTCAGTATTTTTAAAATTTTGATCTTTTAAATCTGTCAAATTTCTATTTGATATTGTGTCAATACAACAACTTAGAACACGAGTAACAAAACATCCTTAATATCTCTCTTACCTGTGACCAATTATTATGGATTTTGTCTTGCTTGAAAGCTATGGGCGCAGATTTGCTTTCTGGACTGAGGAGGCAATAAGTGTATTGGAGGGAAAGACTCTGCCCCTTTTAGGGGGGGAAAGAAGAACCACATCCAATCTTCCGGCACATGTCCAAGCAGTTCAAGATCGGGACAGGAATGAAAAAAGATTAGTGGACTTAATTCTCACATCAAAATCAGCAGAGCAGCATTTGGTGGTAATGATGGTTCCACTTTAAATTACTCCTCCAGACTCTGATTATGGTCAACTTAAATATAGTCAAGTGACAATTTAACTATTATTTGCCAAATGTAATTAATGACTTGTGCATTTACATATGAAATATAATTTCCTTCTATGGCCCAAAGGATATACTCAGTGGAAAAAGGTCAAAGTGGTTTCCACTAAAACCCCGTTTTCAAGTGCCTGTCTACATTGAGAATGAGCAGTCCCTGACAATCCTTTATAACTACATGAAAGAAGTTCTTAATAAAACCCAAACGCAGCTGACCCACAATGATGAGGTGGAGTTCATTTGTGGATGTCTCCTCCCAGAGGTAAGCCCAAAACATGTTTGAACACGAGCATGTTTATGTTCTGCAGTGTGTGAATGTTTTATTTTATTAATTGGTTTATTTGTACAGGCCATCATTCATGGCCTTTGCGAGCTGCAGGGCTTGTCTTGGCAGGAGGCTGAAGAGATGTTCCTCCAGGGCCCCACTTATCACTCAAGGTATGTTTTCAATTTTTGTTTGTTCAAAAACTGTTGGATTTTTGTGTTACATAACATTTCTGACAACAGCATTTATCTTTTCTTTTAGTGAAGTTGAGGAATTTGACAGAAGAATTGCTCGAGAAATGAAAAATCTCCCCAACAAGAATGTAAAGCATTTATTTTATTTGATGTTATTTAATATGTAATATATACATTATTAACCCAATTATTTTTTTCACCATTTTTCTCTGCATTGTTTACAGCTCGATGACTTGTAGGACCTCATGAAAAAGAATACAAAAATAAAGTTTGGTGTGAGAAAATGACTCCGAGCACTATAATTTATTGTATGTAAATATAGAGTTAATGTTCATCCCCTAACTCAATACTAAAGAATGTGATAAATCCTTAATAATTAAGAAAACAATAAATGACTATGAAAATATTTAAGTAACTGAACAATTTCTATTTACAAATACAATTAATAAAAATAAACCAGACTTAATGCATTAAATCGAATTGGGCTACTTTATCACTGTTGCTGCGGGTTGTTTTTTATGTCCGCGGGTTGAAGCGACCCCAGTGACGTGTATTTTAGCTCCCAGAACGCGATTTTTACCGGGGGACCCCTCGAAACGCGGTTAGTTTTGAGTAGCAATTGGGCGGGTTTTGTTATGAAAACCTGGCAACCATTTCCCTCAAGCAGGTAACGTTATTATTGCTAACATAGCGGATTTATCGAAAAATACATTGGCATCATCTGTATTAAAGAGAAACTAATCACTTCATCCGATGTTTAAGTGAAGAAATTAGCCTTGACAGCCTTACTTACTGGACTTCCTCAACTATTGACTTTGTTCTCTCTCACAGGACTTGTGTGAGTGTAGGTGATGTAAAAGACGAAAGCAGGCATTTGGACCAAAGTGAGGCAAGGGAGTGGTAGACTTAAAATGTTTCTAAACTTAAAACACATTTTTGCCCCGTTTGTGTTGTTTTACTACTTACAATTGATTAAAGTATAAAACATTGTTATTTACAATGCACAGCGTGGTTTTTAATCATATTTTACAACCCTCAGATAGGGGGGTCCTGTCCCCCCAGACCCCCCCGGGATTTCCGCCTATGCACGGGCTTCATCTTGTGCTTTTTAACTTTTTTTTTTCTTGGCGCCGGACTGCTGATGTCTTTTTCCGGGCATAGTTGTCCATCAATTATGATCATTTGCAGTTAGCCGCAAACATGAGGTGAGGGCAGGCGCGGATGCGGGAATGGCGCATCACGTGTGCTTAGCCTACTGACTACTGCGTTCACCGTAAAATGCATTTTTTTTAAATTGGATATATATATATATATATATATATTCATGTTTATATTTTTATGTATGTATATGTATATGTATGTTAATATTAATATAGAACAAAATATATATTTTTTTTTTGAGAGACTGGGATCGTGCCCCCCCTGGGAGTTGGTGCCCTACACAAACTGCATACTCTGTGTATAGGGAGCGGCGATACTGCTAGCCACAAATACTTTATGCGTTTAACTGAGAGCAATACAGATATCTGCATTTAACCACCAGTCTAAAGCAACTGAAGAAGCACATAAACTCACAGGCTTAAACGGGCTGAAGCCCAGGGGCCTACTGGCTGCAGGTAAATGATATTTTTTGAATAATTATTTGTATACATAGGAGTTTGCAGCAGTGACAACATCAATCTATAAACAGTCGCACACTCATAAATTTTCAGGACTTTCAACAGCATTCTTGGCAATGCCCTGCTGTGTGAAAGGAACCGACCAGACAACTAGTTCCCTTTCGAGGGAACTTCGAACTGCGTCCTCTAGGGGTCGCTATGGGGAACGCCTTCGGCGTGACCTGTGTCTGAAGCATACATCTAAACACGACAATGATATTGGCTGGCAACAGCCTATGGACGTCACTACCGGCATGACCACAGTATAAAAGGGCGCCGGTAGAACACGTCATCCTCTTCTTCGTCTTCACGACTGTTTGTTTGGAGTTGCATACAGGTGAGAACAGCGATTCTGATTGTTGTTATCATGGCGCGCACTAGCAAGGCGTTTAGGAAGTCTGTGGATCCGTGTCAGCTTTATCTGATATCCGATGACACACACGATCTTTGCATCGCATGTTTGAGCGAGGAGCACGCACGTGACGTCCTCGAGGGGGTGGCATGCATTCATTACGAGCTTTTCTCCATGAGAAAGCACCGCTCTCGTTTGGCCCTCTTTTCGAGGAAAGAGGGGCAGCCATCAGCAGTGGACCTGGCCGATGAATTGAAGAAGGGGCTTTTGCCTTACTCGTTCGTCGGAGGATGACGCTATTTCTCTGATGTCATCTGATCCAGCAGCTAGTGCTCTGCTGGCTCCCAGCCAGGAAGAGCAGGAGATGTTAGATGAGGACGAGGAAGTTAAGACTGAGTCCTCTAAAACCTCCTGCCCTGCGTACGAGGGGCTGCTTGAGGTTATGGAACGCGGAAGCGGACTAGGAGGGTGGCGCCTCGTGGCCGGCTCGATGAGCGCTATCTTTCTGATCATAACCCTCCAGCCCAGGTGAGCCTTCCGTTTCTTCCTGATCTTCATGTGGAGATAGAGAAGACTTGGAAAAATCCGTTCTTTTCGCGTGTCCACAGATTTCAGCAGTCTAGTTATGCCAACATCGAGGGGATGCGCAAAAGCGGATATGAGAAGGTGCCTCCCATTGAAGAGACGCTAGCTCGCTATGGGAGAAACATCTTCTCTTAGGACTCCCTCCTTGCTATCCAGACCCCTTCAAATAATATCTCGCCTGAATGGCAAGGCGTACGCAGCAGCGGGTCAGGCGGCTTCTTCATTGCATACCATGGCAATTTTGCAGGCTTATCAGGCCGACCTGCTGAAAGACCTGGATAAAGGTCAGGGTCTTTCCCCTGATGAAGTGCCTGAACTGCGTCGTACCATGGATCTCGCTCTCTGTGCCAATAAGCAGACCGCGGCTGCCATAGGCAGGTCTATGGCGGCCATGGTGGTAACGGAGAGACATCTGTGGGTGAACCTGGCTGACATCGGGACAAAAGAGAGGGGCTTTCTCCTTGATGCGCCGGTTTCTCTTTCTGAACCTTTCGGCACTTCTGTTGAGGCGGTTGTCGAGAAGTTTATGAAGGCGAAGGCGCGCTCAGCTGCTTTTAAGTCCTTCATTCCACGAAGGCCCATGTCTCAGCCTGAAAAAAGGGGTCCTGGCCCGTCTTGGTCTAAGGATCAAAGACAGGTCCAGGAGGCTAGTGTTGCGACTCACGCCCCTCCTCCACCTGCGAGCAGGTCTAGAGGACGGCGCAGGTCGAAGGCTCAGAGGCAAGACTTGAGGGAAGTAATCCAGACGAGGCGTTCCCAACGCTCTCGTCTGGATCAGGACAAATCGCCCGAAACTTAGTGTGGTCACAATCTACTCACGCCTTCCTCTCCCAATTCCCCTGTTAACCCTTTCCTTCCCTGATCAAAGTTAACCTCCATGCACCGGTATTACAGTCTCCGGCTGGACCTATGATGTTCTGGTTAGTTTCTGTGTTTAAAAAAAAACAAAACATAGAACTACCTACTGAAGTAGGTTTTGTACTGAAATCTCATCCTGTGATCATACCATAATGCAATTACCATAATTACAAGATGACAACCTTTGACTTTCTACTCTGAGCTGTTCACATGTTCAAACTCTTATTATGTGTTTCTGTGGCAACACTATTAATAGTAATGACTTTATGAATTTCTTCACTGATAAAATAGATAACATCAGAAATACAATAACAAATGTAGATTCTACAGTGTTGATCTCTATGAAGAATTTCAGTCAGGTTTCAGGCACAGAAACTGCCCTTGTTAAAATTACAAATGACTTGCTTCTTGCGTCAGACCAAGGCTGTATCTCATTGCTAGTTTTACTTGATCTTAGTGCTGCGTTCGACTCTATAGATCATGACATACTCATAGATCGATTACAAAACTATACAGGTATTCAAGGGCAGGCTTTAATATGGTTTAGATCCTACCTGTCCGATCGCTACCACTTTGTTCATTTAAATGGGGAGTCATCTCTGTTATCACCAGTAAAATATGGATTGCCACAAGGATCGGTCCTAGGTCCTCTGCTATTTTCAATATACATGTTGCCCCTTGGTAATATTATCAGAAAATACGGGATTAGTTTCCACTATTATGCTGATGATACTCAACTATATATCTCAACAAGACCAGATGAAACTTATAAATAATCTAAGCTAACAGAGTGTGTTAAAAATGTAAAAGATTGGATGACCAATAATTTTCTCCTATTAAATACGGATAAGACAGAGATATTACTTATTGGACCAAAAGACACAGTACACAGAATCTCTTGGATTACAATTTGCAACTAGCGGATGTATTGAAACATTATAAAAACACAACGACAAATCCGAAAACAAATTTACAAGTCAGAAAACACAACGACAAATCAGACAAATCAGAC